GAGCCACATGCGGCTCTTTGGCCCCTTGAGTGTGGCTCTTCCACAAAATACCGGCTCTTCCACAAAATACCAACTTCTGCGCATGGGCCACGAAGTTTCAATTGCACTGCAGGTGCGCGCCCGCACGTGGTATTTTGTGGAAGAGCCACACTGAAGGGGCCAAAGAGCCGCATGTGGCTCGTGAGCCGCGGTTTGCCGACCACGGGGCTAGGCCAGTGGGTCTCAACCTTCCTAATGCCGTGACCCTTTAATACAGTTCCTCATGTTGTGGTAACCCCCAACCATAAAATTATTTTCGTTGCTACTTCTTAACTGTAATTTTGCTACTGTTATAAATCGTAATGTAAATATCTAATATGCAGGATGTATTTTCATTGTTACAAATTGAACATAATTAAAGCATAGTGATTAATCACAAAAACAATATGTAATTATATATGTGTTTTCTGATGGTCTTAGGCGACCCCTGTGAAAGGGTCGTTCGCCCCCCAAAGGGGTCGCGACCCACAGGTTGAGAACCGCTGGTCTAGGCAGTGTACAAGGAACTGGAGATACAAAGATGACAGGGGCTGTGAGGGCATTGCTGGGACTCAGAGACCAGCAAATCCCAATTCCACTGCTGCCTTGAGTCTTCTCACTCCTGTATGCTTTGACCCCTTCAACCCTAAATGGGGACAGGTAGTTACCTTACTGAGTTCTTGTGAGGATTCCATGGGGGTAATGCAAGTAAAGTGCATAGCGTAATAACATAGCCCCCAACAGCAAAGACTTCCAATTTATAAGGGAAATAGCACAAATTAAACACAAAATGGATGATTAACTATTTCAACCACAAGGATGATGGAAAGAATTACTTTGGTGTATGATAATTTGAGAAATACATGCAAAACCAAATGAGTTCCTGGATATGCCTTCCAAGGGCACAAGTCACTCCTGCACTCAGTTTTGAAGGACAATAACCCTCGGGGAATGAGTGAGAACCTGTGTTCAAGACCAGCAGCAATGTAGGGAGAGTCCTGCTTTGCGCCCCTATAACTTCTCAAAGAGAACAGACCACCTCACTAAATGCCCAGAAAGCTAGCATCACCTAACCGTAGAGTGGCATGATCACTTGGACTGGATAAATGTCACAATGGTACAAATGTTCCTTTATCCAGAGTGAAACAGGGCAAAGAACTCCCTAATTTTACCACACAACCTAAAGCAGGTTTGGGGCAGGGTTCAGGGAATGTCACATGACCAAGGCACTCCAACTCCCCCAAGATAATTTGTACTACCTGTGAAAAATGGCAGTAACATAAAATCCTGCCCATCTGACTGAGCCATATGTTCTAATCAAATCACACAAAGTGTGTGGCATCATTAGCAAAACCTAATGCCACACAGGATGAATTAGGGCACAAAAATGTGCTCTCCTTCTTCCGTGACTTTGGGAACTGCAGGGATTCCTCTCCCAGGTATGGTTCAGAGCTCAGGCAATTTGTCCTGAGACCACAGTTTGGCTAAAAAAACTCTGAAAAGTCATCACTTGCTCTCTGTAAACAAGAAGGAACTACCAACACTTATCTGGTTTGCAAACTATAGTCCTTTGTTGCTGCCAAGTTGGCCAGCAGGACAGACTGATAAATTAGAATGTGGTCAATTTTAAAGATTTAACTTCCCTTCGAGAGGCAACGTTTTCTCTTGAGATCCCAAGCACACAGAATAATTCTCATTAGCAATGTCTGCAAAGACAATTTCATTTCTACATTGAGCTGCCAAAGAAGGGAGGACTGATTTGAAGGAAAGAAAAAAAAACTTAAATATACATATTTTATAATACTAGGCTTGAGTGAAATCAGTAAGAAGCCATAGGAAAGCACATTAGTCCTTAATTAGAGAAGTAAGAGGCAAATCATGAATGCTTAGCAGAATAAAATCTCAGAATCTATTTTTAAAATGAAAATCATTCCTGGCTCAACTGGACAAGCCTCACGACAGTCCCATTTAACCATCTGGAAATACTTCCTTTGTTCAATTTTTGGAAGCGTTAAAAAAGAGAGACATAAAAAAGACAGCTTTCTCTCAAAGGTAAAGAACCGCCTATGTATATTGTCTTTTACAAAAATAGTCAGGAACAGGTTCTTTACAATATTATTTTAGGCAAGCCATTTAACCTGTGTTCTTTTCTCCTCTTTATATAATTAGTGCTTATCTATACTAGTATATATATAAAAGCCCAGCAACCTAATGGCAGAACGACCAGAACGACTGGTTGACCAGTCGCTATGATGTGCACTGACCACCAGGGGGCAGATGCTCAACGCAGGAGCTGTCCCCTGGTGGTCAATGCTCTCCCACAGTGGGAGCGCCGCTCGGCCCCAGGATGAGGCCAAGTCTTTGCACCTATCAAATACCTGAGACAATCCAGACTCTGGTCTGACCCCACCAGCTGATGCAGGCCCTCTAAGGTGTGATCTAGAAAGAGTGTAGGGAGCTGGCATAGGCAGATGGCAAGAGGGGACGTGACTGTGGACCCCCCAGGGAGGCTGTCCTGATGGCTGAGGATCCTGGAGCACGGCTGCCCTGAACATCCCCAATGGTGTCACCGACCTGGCATCACACATCAAGGACATTCACCAAGTGGCTTTGGGGTGCAAAGCTCTCCACCAGGTTCCTCCAGGACACAGAACACGCTTTTACCCAAGACATTAGCCCAAAATATCAGCTCAGACTAATTTCCTCATTCAGCAGCCACTCAGAGGGCAGGTCCACAGCTGCTTGGCTGACCAGGATGAGCAGAGCTCCCACAGTGGGCCGATCCCCGCAGGCCACACCCCACCCCACCAGTGCATGAATTCATGCACTGGGCCTCTAATCCTATCTAATAATAGAGAAACATGGTAATTAACCGTAACTTCGCTACCCTTCCCATTGGCTAATCAGCGAGATATGCAAATTAACTGCCAACCAAGA